GAGGGGAGTCCCCATTACCTGTAAAGCGCTTTGATTTGAGTGTCCAGAAAAAGTGCTATATAAGTGTAAGCAATTATTATTATTATTATGATGAATTATTACAGTTCCATCTCTAGTCTGCCCACACTCTCTTTCAGGGGAGTCTTGAACTCAAAATGGTGCCTCCACCTTCATTAAAATTCCTATGTCCAATCCAGCCCATTCCACATGGTGACCACTTGTACAGTATGTGTATAAAGTCATTTCCTGCAGCTTAGTCACAGCAGAGCAGAAATAAAGTGCTCATCTGTCCAAAACAAATGTGTCTAGAATGTTATGTAATGTTGGCTTTAAATTAATGATACATTTTTAGACATCTTGCCTCGGTGAGTTTTTCACTATCCATTAATCAGCACTTAATTACTGTGCGATGGTTAAATTTCCTTTCCTAGATTATATCCAAAGCTGTTGCTGATGAACTGAAAAATTATAGTAAACTAAATTGTTCATCACCAGATGGCGTCACTGTGACTCCGTGAACAATCTGTAATGAGTATTGTATCTTCATTACAAATAAATCTGTACAACGCCTTCCATAATTGAAAACAGTGCCTTAGAAATTTCACATCTTTTATAATTAATTTCTTCTGTTATAGTAATTTTATACACTGCATGCCTCTCCATATTGAAACATTTACCCTTTCAAAATATTTTGACAAACTTCACTGTATTCTGACATCAGGAGTCTACACTGGATAATATATGTGCAAATTAAATGGTATTTTAAGTTACTGAAACAGTTTCTAATGAAGAAATAATATTACTTGAGAACTGTTTTGAATTTACAGTCTATTGATGGTTAAAGATGTTTTAAGAATAACGCTCACAGTAGGGTGCCTCTTATTTTTTTAACAGAGGCCTCTTTCTCTTAAAATCTCTTTCATATACTGTAGATCACACCACACAATAAAGGGTACTCTGAATTATTGCTGTATTACCAAGAAACTAAATGACTCAAACAAAATTAAAACAGCTATTCTGCATTCTCTTCCAAACTATTTTTTTCTTTGAGTAATGCTTTTGAAAAGTAGCATTCTGTCCAAAGTAGTCTAGTAGCCCTGTGCAGTAAAGAGAAATAGTATCTTTATAAACAGTTTCACCCAGTTCCAGTGAGGCGTATTCAGGATATAAAGTTCAAGGTATAAAGAATCAATAATAATGAAAACAATAGAAGTACAGGTGAAAATGCTTAAACAGATTTTTTAATATTATAAAGTTCATAGTGTATATGTATTATTTAATGAAGAGCAAAGGCTCTATTTTCCTAATTCTTTGTATTTGTTTGGAATGAAAGGGAAATGAAAGATTAGAAAAACAACAGCGCGCGTCTTTTATCTCCCAGTTAGAAAAACAAAGTCCAACAGCAGGGCCCTTTGTGCACTCCCGCATGTGGTTTGCCAGCTGTGGTTTGAGCAAGCCCTACAGCACTACAGGAAACCAGATGCAGTCGGTGAAAACACTTCTGAGGGCGACTGCTGGATTTTGACAACTTCTTAAATCGATCGGCTGCCACTAAAAATGGGAACTCTTGACGTCCAATATTATTTCTTGCATTGTTTGGACTTTTCTCAAATGAGTTAGTCCCCGTGCGGCGCAGTGTCATGCCTGTTAAACCTGCTTCATTATAGCTTTGGGGTCTTGGTATCTTAAATCTTAAATAGCGATCCTCCTGTGGGGAATCTGCATACTGTTTCCATGTACACAGGGACATGTCTTTCTTCCACCTTCTCAAGACAGGCTGGCTTAGTTATTTGGTGCCTGTAATTGCCCCTGTGTGCTTATGCAACCAGCTGGCTGATAAGCAACGGGTGAATACACTGGCCCACTGGTAAGCAATTAGTCTATTTATTGCGATTTCCTGCACATGTGACTAAGGCACAAGCGTTCCACAACCCCTTTGTTATTATAGAGTCTTTCTTCTCTCACACCCCAGGAAGCTTTTCAGTTTCATGAGTCTGGCGGATCTGCACCTTGGGTCCCTTTCTCTGAAGCTACTGTACCTGGACCGTTGCCTAGAAATGATGTGTATATTTCACCAAGCCGGGGCTGTCTCGGATTAAGTAGCATCCTTTCAAAGTTCAGATTAATCCTGGACATTCTTTAAGTGGGGTTTGTCACCTCATACAGTATCTATGCATCAAGCCCACACATTGAGGGAGAAGTTATAGTTCTCTCTAACTACATCGATTCTCATGTTACTAGGCAGTCAAATGGTAATGTGCGATCATTTAAAAGCTGAATTCTCAGTCATTCCCTCTCCATCAGAAGTGGTACTGGCAATTAAGTGGGAAATAATTAAAACAAATTGTATAAAAATAAGTATCGGTGACGTTAAATGTGTTTTTGTGGTGAAGTATACTTTTTTGTATTGCTAAAACTGTTTGAAATGGAAATATTACATAGGCCTTTTTGTTTAAAGGGCCACACATACAGTTCCTTTTGCTGGAGAAAAACCTAGAACACTAAACTATGGGGGTAGCCGACACTGCATTGGGCACGGTCACACCCCTTTATAAAGCTCTTTTAGGTTCCCTTTTTT